TATGGTCAAGTAAAAATGGAATGACACTGTCATTGCTTTTTGGAACAGAAGGAAAGGAGCTCCTCGGGGTTATCAGTATAACCAGTAAGAACTAGAATTATTTAAGATCTATTTCACAGGGACTGCCGTTAGGCCATCCATGGAGAGGTGGATCGCATTTGAAAAGAACCTAGAAGACTGTATTTATCAGGATCAAGGCCTATCACCTCTGTTTCACAAATTATCAAACTAGAGCCATCACTCAGACCAGAAGTAGGAAAGTATGAGGAAGCTCCTAGAAAGCACAGACTTTGTGCAACAGGCAAGTGCGATGGACTTGTTCTCATAACTGGTGCTCACTGTCCCACTCCACCTCATGCTAGTGAGATGTAGGCTGTCCTTGTCAGAATATTCTCCATACAGGAGGTCAACACAAGCCGACTGGGTCCAGGAGAGGAATCCACTGGCCAGAGCTAAAGTGTAGCCCGGCTCTGGATCTAAGGAGATGTTGACCCTAGGACTATGACTAGGGAGAAAAAATAAAAGCAAGTTCTGAGAGGGATAGAGAATTCTACCAGCCTAGAGTCTATGCCAATTTCAGAACTGAAGTGAAAAAAAAAAAAAAAAAAGAAATTCAAGGCTCAGATTGTGCAAAGTGTATCAATAGATTACATAATGATTTTCCTAAAATTAAAAAAAAATTTGTTTACATATATATTTGTTTTTTTTCTCTTTTAGAGTTGGGTACTCATCTCCTTTGAAAGTACTAACTTGTCTTCGATAAATTGGAACTAAATGATTTTTGTCATTACTTGAAAATAAAGACAAGGCCAAGAAGATCTTTGTATTATAGAGCAGAGTTTTTGAAGCTTCTTGAGTTACCTGGTGACGTGATGAAATCAGTCTTCAAGGAGAAAGATCTGAGCAACAGTGTATGGGATGAATTAGAAGAGAAGATTGAAGACAGAAAGCCTAGTATTTTATGCTGTTGAAATGATTTAAAACCTAAAATAACAATTGCTAGGACTTGAGGGTAATAGTAGAAAGGGATCAATCTAAGAAAGAATTGTTCAGAGTTGCGTGGTGGGAGAAAAATGAAGGAGATCTGGCTCCATGTCTTTTGAAGGGTGGGCACTAGAAGAATGTGGGAGTTCTTGACGGCAATGAGAAAAGTAAGCTGAGGTGACTGAGGGGGGCAGATAATCTCATGTCAATGTGAGATTTTAGGATAAGTAGAACATCCATGTTTTGTGGGCAACTAGACATATGCTAATGGAGAGAGAGTAAGAGGTCAAATAAAATTTAGGAAAGAAAACACCCAGGTTGAAACTCTGCACAATAGTAGAGAAAAGAACCAAAGTTACAATAAGAACAATAACAACAACAGTAATCACAACTGCTACTTCTTGAATGGCTACTGTGTTCTAGCCATTGGACCAGCAGCATCACCTGTCTCAGCCCTAGACACCATGAGATAGATTTGATTGTTCCCATTACAGAGAGGAAATTGATTCTTCTCAAGGTTAAGGGACTTGCCTCAGTCCAACTAGTGAAGGACCAGGACACTAGATTTCTAGTCTGTTAACTCCCAATTCAGTCTCTTTCTATAGGCAATTCCTTTCATGTATGTAACTGGCCAGTCTCCTATCACATAACACTGGAGGTGGAATTATGAAAATATGGCTATCATGGAGATGCCATTGGAGTAACTTTAAATGAAAGAGAGTAAGAGAAATCAGGGTATAAACACTGGTTGGACCCAAGAGAGGCACGGGTCTGGCATAGAAAGAAGGCAAGAAGTTTGTAATGTCCTCCTACAAATCAGTAAAGAAAGCATTTCCCCCCTTATCCTAAACCTGACACAACACAAAGATAGAACTTCAAAACTTAATTTGATTTTATAACACTTAATCACCTCCCCCCAACACGATACAGAGGGAAAGACAAGATCCAGACAACAGCTTTCAAGAGAAGCAGAAGTTTCAGTTGGGAGCTGAGCAGAGAGAACTGAGATGCTTTATAGCTTCATTAAATTCCCAGAACACTATACATACCCACATTCAGCTGTAAGTTCCCCACGTCCTTCTCTCCTCCCTCTGGCTCCCTACATTCCAAAAGTGAATGTAAACAACTTATATTCTATTTTCCTAGGATTGACTAAAATAATTATATATATGTAACTTTTGAGGTCAAATCATAAGATCCTAAAAATCAGTGCCACTTAACAAGCATTTACTAATGAGTGAATGTGTTCTAATCTTGGTAGATGCCAGAATATGTTAGACATTTCCTGCCTTCCAGAAACTCACCATCTTTACATAGGCAACCATAAATCATAGTATATAATGAAGTCTATAAGTATGAAATGATGATTCTGGGCATTAAAAAAAAAAGTGAAAATGCTGGCCTAGGATGTCCAGAGAGAATCTCATCAGGAGATAATATTTGTTCTGGGCCTTAAAAGGTGAGTAAAATTTTTCCAAGGGGCTTAAAGACAAGAAAGATAGAGTATTTTAATTGGGACAGAAATGGAGGCTGGAGTAATTGACCAGACTACAAATGGCCCCAGGGAAATAGCCCACAACCTAATGGACAATGTGTTAAGGAGCCTAAAGGATGTGTACCCTCTTCCAGTCCTGACATTGACCAAAATCCTATCAATTTGGGGATCAGCAACAGGAGCCCAGGCAGCAGGCAGTATCTGATGTCTGTGGGTCAGCAGAACCATGGTTCCAGGTCTCTCTCTCTGGCTCTGAGAACCAGAGCCTGGGAGAGACTTTGGCAAAGGATCAGCCATGGGCTCAAGACAGAGTACAATCCCTCTTAGTGTTTGAGTACTTAAAGAAATTGAGGTCCGTAAAGAATGGTCCTGGCCATTCCCCTGATAAGCAGACTGTCAATGCCTAGACTTCAATCTAGAAACATCGCACACCAGGTCTGGGATAATAAGATTAATCTGAGACCCCACCCAGCCAGCATGAGCTAGTTTCAAATATTTTTAATACTTCCCCAAATTACTACTACCGTGATTTACAGCAGAGAAGTATCCAATATATATTTTCTGAACAACTACCTGAATATGTTTTTATGCTACATTAAACTTGTTTTGCTTCCATTTCCTGCAGGACTACAATCTACATTATCATTGTCATCAATCATCATTACAATCATCTTACTAGCTTCCAATTATGGTGGGTTTACATGTGCCAGATGCAATGCTGGGTGCTGAGGATCACTAATCCTCATGACACTTCTACAAGGCAGATACTATTAGCCACACTTTACAGATAGAGAAAATCAACTTCAGAGAAATTGCAGGTCTTGCCCAAACTCACATGTAGCTAACAAGTGGCAAAAAAGTGGGACATCCACAGCATATTCTATCCAGTATGAAAACAACTCACCTCAATTGTAAATAGACTTTTTTTTTAATTTGGTCAATTAAAATGGAGCAAAAGTGACTCTGTTCAGTTGGTTTTGTGAGAATGTAACAGGTAAGTGATTTTTTCAAAGGTTTTATTAACCTTATACATACAGAAAAGTATATAATTTGATGAATTTTCACCAGCGACAAAACTGATTTTTCACATTTTGGTCAGGTCTATTAGAGTTCCATGCATATAGCACAAAAATTACATTGTCTTCATCCATTATAGCCATCTTACAAATAAGAGGGGAGATACCAATTTCCAATTTACAGACATGTACGGCTATTCTAAAATTTACAAACAGCATTCTGGCACCATATCTCAAACATCGTGCCTACCAGTCTACTCTTCACCTGTTAACAATTCTAATTAGTCAATGTATGCAATCAACTCTGGCACCAAGAATTTCTAGACTGACTTGAAGATATTTTTACTGTAGTATTTTTACTGCAGGTTATCCTTCCCAAAGAAATATCTCAATTCTCCCCACTATCTCCTAAAGAAACTCAACTCCTCTGAACTCAGTTCTGAGTGCTTCAGAAGTTAGAGATCTGGCGGGACCTGAGTAGCCCCATTTATGCTCATCACACAAGCCTGCAAAACATAGCAAGGAAATTACATCAGACTAGCAAAGAACCTTGCAACATTCCTTTTCAAAAGTGTTCCTGTCTGTCAGGGCATATGAATTATTATGCTACACCCCCGATTGCTAAATCTGCCCCCTCTCCTGGAGGTGCCAGCTGCTGCCTGTTCACCAGCAACAATTCTGTCACTTTTACTTTGCGTCCTAATTAAGAAGACACCAAGAGACACGTGGAAGTACAAGAACCAGAAGGATTGTGCTATCTGTCATACTGTCCTCCAGATGTTCTAATGATGCCTTTGAATTTGGATGGAGGAGACACACAGAAAGAACTCTGGTGCCATGAAACCTTCCCGTGACTACTTGTTGAAGAAAGACAATTAACGACCCAACAGCTGCTAATGGGAACCTTTAGCTAGAAAATTTGTTAGGAAGAGCATTTACCAGCTCTCTGAGGAATTCATACTGATAAACACCTTAGTTATGCTCATATTTTTGTTCTAAAATGCACAATTCATCCTTTCTAAATCAGTTTCCTTAAATTACTAAGAGAGCTCATTAAGATAAGAAAGATTTATCACCAGTTTAAAAAAAAAACATTTTGT